TCTTTCTTGATCTTGTTGGCGAGCTGGCATAGGACGACGCCCGACTGCAAAACCTTCTGGAACTCAAGGGCTCCCAGACCGTCCTCCAGCTTTTCATCCAAGACCTTCTCGATCCACGTGCGCACTTCCTGTTCTTTAGCGATGTCGTACTTCTTCTTGGCCTACCATCGTGATCGGCAGAGGCTCAACAGGGCGATCGTCGTGAGATAGGGCTACGCGGCAAACGCACGTTGTCTGCGATGTCTTTATCCAGACCGAAATTCCCGTCCTCGGTCGGCTGAACGTAAATCCCGTTGTTCACCTACGAGTGCAAGGACGTAACTAGCACAGCTAATTCTGGGTTCGCGTCCCACCGCTGCCATCATACCTGCTTGTCCTGGGCGGCGCGGGGGATGACATCCGTCATCTCGACGGCGGCTGTCGATGTGTCCTGCAATGGACGTCGCCGCTTCCTTTTGCTGGAAAATAGTTTCCGCGCGACCCGAGCCGCCGGGTGCCCCGCAACAACCTCGTTGATCATGAGCCAGAAGATCGGCTCGCGAGATGGGGTGCTAGTATGTATGAGACCGATGCGTCGCAGTTCTCTTGCCGGGGGGGGCGGTAAGTTAGTGGTCACGGAACCCGAACACCCTTCGGAGTCGCTCCTCATCGCAAACCCTGTCACTACATACACTGAATATGCAATAGGTCGAATAATGAATGAAACGTAGTGGCCCGGTTCATCCAAGATATGGAGACCGACGCGCGGCTTTGCACGCGCACTTCCATTGACGATGCGACAGCCGTCCTCCGCAGAGCCCTCGCAACGATTGCGGCGCCCTTCTCAGCCGCATCGGCGCCATCGCCAGGGCCCTCGCCCTTCAGGCTGCCATCACCGTCCTGCGCCGGCGTTGTAGCAGGCTGCTCAGCTCAACAGTCAATCGCTGTGGGACCCTCCGAAAGATCGCTCGGCACCCAACCGTTCTGCACCTGTCCTGGCTGCGGCACCCCTCTGTGAGCGATTCCATGCAATCTCGCATGTGCCCATGCTCCCAGAGAGGTGTATCCATGACCTGCATTCGTCGCCAAGCACGTCCGTGATTTCCCAGACGCACCACCAAAGACTGAGCTGTCTCATACCACCTCCTGGCCTGCCACAAGACTCCCGACTGCTCTCGGCCAGGGCTCACACCCTGCACACGCGGGATCGGGGGATGTCACGGCGACCCCATGCCGCGGCATGTGCGCGCTCTCATCGCCCCTCCACAGCGGTGCAGCGTGTGGAGACTCTTGTGAGTTGCCAGTGGATAGTGAGAATCACCCGTCGTGATTTCAACTCGGATGTCTGTAAGGCAGATCTGGCTTTACAATTGAGTACGCGCTTCGCGCAGGGGCTGGTTCCACATACCTCACACACCAGTCTCACCAGGTCACCACCCAAACACACACTCCTCTCTGTGCGCGCTCTGGTCTCTCCTGCGCGCTGCGGTCCGCACCCCGCGACGCGGTAAAATAATGGATTATTCTCCGGTGTTCTAAATTCACCCGCGGCAGCCTCAAGAGCGGGAGCGCGGCGGAGCCTCTTCTGAGTCCTCTGCCCACCCCCCTGCGAGGGCTTTTGCGAGGTCTCGGATCTCGCGCAAGTCAATGTCACTAAACTCGTCCTCGCTGCTGCCGCCGCTGTCGCCGTCGCTGTCGCTGTCGCTGTCGCTGTCGCTGTCGCTGTCGCTGTCGCTGTCGCTGCTGTCACCCTCATCACCCTCGTCATCGTCACTCAAGCCACCCGGGATGGGATGCATACACTCTCGCTGCTCCTCTGGAGGAATGGGCCGCTGGCATACTGGGCAGCGAGGGAAGGATTGTTTGCAGTGGCGCGCGATGCACCGTCGGCAAAAGATGTGGAGGCAGCCGATCGCTTGCGCGCCGCTGATACTGTCGAGACAGATTGGACAAGCGTGCTTGATCCTCGTCCCCTCCGAGGCCATGCTGGCTCCATTGTCGCACCCAATCGAGCGATCGGCAGAGCTGGCTAACGAACGCTCGATGGAGTCCAGTGAGTGAGGAGAGGACTCAAACAGTGGCTCTGCCAGGTTGCGCCCGCTGCCAGCATGTTGCGATCCGGTTCCCACGGTTCCCACGGCACCTGCCGACAAGCTCTGGTCCGCGCCCATCGAGAACTCCGCGACGGCCGCAGCAGCCGCGTCAGTCAAGACCGTGGAGGCAGTGCGCGGCACTTGAGAGGTTTCCGACATGGAGACTACTGATTGAGGGCGCGTTTGCCCGGTTGGCCGAATTGGGCGGAAGCCGCCCGCCAGGCGGTGTAAGTTTGGTGGGGAGATCGTGAGAAATACAAGTTGGCCCTCTAGCCCGTAACCCGATGCCAATCATCCGGCCCGCTGGGTGCGCTTCTC